CACATAGTGGGAAAGTGGCTGAAGCCGGACCACCAGATCAGGATAAATACCATTTCTATCAAATCCTTAAAATAACGATAAAACCACTATTTACATCATTCGGACTATTGTCCTCATCTTGGTCGCCATATTTATTACAACGTTTCGGCCGTTGTACGCTCCGGCCCTCTTCAGGTGGTTGGAATGTCGAACTGAACCCTTTATTTCACTCACTGGGGTAAACTGTTCTAGTTCCACGTGCTATGTTTAATGGATGTGAGTTATCTCCTGTTAATTCCCCTCTCCAGTAATAAGGAGTGCCAGAGAAAAGCGATAATAACAACAAAAATTGTAGTATGATAGCGATTGACACTGACTGAGCTCTGGTAAAAACATGCCATGATAACAGCAAAAATTGCAATATGAACACTGGTAAAAATGGTTGCTGAAAACATTAGGTTTATAATACCCAGAAATTCATACACAGATGACCCTGAAGGACTCATGGATAAAGGCGTAAGTTAGATCCAGTGACAGGACCCAAAGAGTGTGAGTTCAATGCCCGGTTAAGGCAGTGGAGAACTTGGAGAGGGGAATTAACAGGAGATAACTGACAACTGATATCCATTAAACATGGCACGCGGAACTAGAACAAGGTTCAGTTCGAAATATAGACATTAAACTTTGACATAAAACATCGCATTTATTAATCTGTATACAGTTTGAAGAATGTTCATATAATGCAAGCAGAATATCGAAACAAAATCCCATCGATTGATATTTGCTGTAACAATTAACGTATTTTCAGTTTCGGAATTCTTACTGATTTTTATATTAGTAAATATTTTGATAGATGCTAAAATAATTCCACTTTCTCTTATAAAAACGAGGTAAAAATAAATCAAAATTCAAACATGTCACATTTTCACCTTTGTAAATATCGGAGGTTTTTCAAATTCTTTTATCTTTTAACAATAAAAATAAGGCAAATAGCATTTCCGTTTCTCTGACAGTTCTCATCTCACCACAGGAATTTCGCTCTCAAGTCACTAACGGTCATTACATCAGATATCTACTTTAAACAGAACAATAAATGTACATATTTGTATATTTTCATTTGTTCGTTTCATTAAAGGCTTTCTATCGCCACAACACGCAAAATAACAGTCACTGAGTTCCGAAAATTGTAAAAAAAATTACCCAACCATCTGGATTTCTTATTTCATGACTAAAAATATGTCTCTTCTTTCTTCGGTAGTATATGTGCGGATAGTGTAATGGATAGCGGCTCAGAATGAGAAATCGGAGAGCCGAGTTCGAATTTCAGTTGGCTTCGTTACTTACGCACAAATACCCTTGGGTAAAGTATCATTTGATCCCCCACCCATCATCTATCGGGTAGGACTTGTATCTGGATTAATCATTATTGTTGTCAAATATTGTTAATGTAATATTCATTTGCAAAATTATCTTACGCGCCAAACATGTGTTTCGGCTTTGAATAACTCACAAAGGGTTGATAAGCCGTAAAATACAAAAAAAGTCTTTCTTCGATATCTCTCTCAACTCCTTTTGTTTGTAGGGGAATTTAGTATTTATCATTTTAATTGCTTGTGTCAAAGTTAATAAAGACTATTTATCTTTCTATGTGGATTTTACTCAGTTTTTATTCTTTTCAAGTACTTTTTTGTTATTACTCTCTCATATGACTATTCTTTTAACTTTCTTTGTAACTGGGGAAAATGACTTTCATGACAAAATTATATTGACTATTTACATATGAAAAAGAATCTGTAAGTGAAAGCATACTCTGATATACAAAACAAATGATGTAGGTCTTCTGGTTATACAGCATTAACGAATCTCCTGCTGGATGCCAGTTTGAAAAGCTCTGTTGCGATCTAATCCTAGAAAAAGCACCACATAGCTGGCCTTGTAAAGCAGTATGGAGAAGTTAGGTTGAGGTCGAAAAGCTTGAGAGATTATCCGTGTGCCTTGTTGATGGACATGGAAAAGCATTATTGGGAATTGAAGACACTTGGAAAAAAGTGGTTATATTTACCAGAGTCTTAAACATATTCCTAAAGTTAGAGGATTGTTTTGCTAATATTAAATATATATTGTCTTATTTGAAACGGTTACTTAAAATTTGGCCCAACCCACACATACACATCCTTCCTTTAAAATCTTACTGATTTTACTAGTAAATAGAGTAAACTGAAACCAGAAAATACACTTGAACATCGTAATCTTAACTAAAACAATTCTGACATTAGAGAGCAGGAATATTCGCTTTGCGGAAAGAACCGCTTTTGACATTTTCTCGACTCTGTTTCCTGTAAAGCATAAAACTTCAAATGTCTCTTTGGCAGGCCATTTCTGTCTGATGCTCAATGAAATGTGGTCAATGAAACTAAAATACGCTGAATCTTAAAACTGAAACATAGGATAATAGCTTTAAAATGACTTTATTCGGAACATTAATCTACTGAAATTCAATATTTGCATAACAAATCCAATGTTATCCCATAGAAAAATTAGTGAAAACAGAGGTAAGCAGTAAATGAGCAGTACTAAATAAAAACGAAACTAGTTATCTCCCCTGGGAACTCAGTGGAACGACAACAATCTACTCCCTGCCAAAGATTAAATAAGAGATTCAGTTCGATATTCCCTGAAGCTTACGAGGATTGATAATCACCTGATGAAGGCCGGAAATCACGACAAATGAAACGTTCTGGTAACAACAACAAAGATGGAGACGATAGCCCGCGTGTAAATAATGTAAATAATGATAACTTTTTCCTAGAATTTCAGATAGAAATAGTAAAATTATTCTAACTGTTACTTCATGTTAAAATCCAAGTCAGATTGTCTTTGAAATTAGAATATTATTAAAATCTTTCGTACTTTTGCGTGCTTGTGTTAGACATTTTGTAAATGACAACATTAAGAACTCTTAAATAATGTTGTCTAATCATTCCAAGATTTGTTCGAACGCCAACACTAATTCTTTTGTGTTGCTGATTTTGGTACCACAACATTTTGGTCAATCTTTTTGGCAGTAGTTTTATCAGAACATGAAATGTTAACTCTTTTTGATGGTTCTGATGTGTCGCCGTCACAATTTGGTTATTTAATAACAAGAATCTTCAATTTTGACGCTTTTAACAAAATACTTTGCTGCACTGTTCTTTAGTTTTCACTGAATGAAGCTACAGCGAAAAATATATAAGGTACATAAACTTTTTCTGTATATTTTATTGCGTGCATAAAATGGCCGACGAATAACGAATAATTTTCGAGCCGGCTATAAATTGTTTATAAGTGGACATATATCGTGCCTTGTTAGGGTCGTGAGATTGATCTTCATTTGGTGTTTCTCATTTTTTCCGCTATGCAACATTTGTATGAATTGCTTATGGCATAATAGATAATGGTTGACAATAATCTTAGTTCGGTAATTAGTTATTAGGTCACTTTGAGATTGACTAAACTAAGAGTAATAAATGAAGGCGCTGACAAAATCGTGATTGTCACCAAGTACGTCTCGCTAGTTAACTGAATTTGAACTTCGTTGGATGACCTCGTTAATGTGGTCTTGTGCCAGACTAAGTTAACCTTAGTAAGTAATTTGCGTTTGTATCGTAGATGGAACTAGTTGAATACTCCGTACAAATGTTCGTGACCAGTCTTGAAGTTGAGATAAGGCCAATTATTCGTAGGATGATTTTCAAGGTGGATAGACATGATGTAACCGAACAGCTGATATCACCTGTTCTACTTATTTCTATATTCGATATTACATTTTCTTAAATCGGCTAAAGTTAATACAAAGTGGATGCAAAAAAGTACTCGTCTCGACTCACATCCCTCCCCAAATCTGATCAAATATCAGAATGTTCTAAACGAAAACATTTTCAGTTGTTGCATCTAAAAATGTTTTCTGAGACATGCTTGTATTAACAAATTCAAACTATTTTTTTTAAAAAGTTAATAGAAATATGCATTTGTTGTGTGAGATATCAGGAATGCAGTTTACATACCGCTTCCAATGTTGATTTGAAGCATTTATTGTCTATATATATTGAAATTGAAGTCGTTCTAGTCAACTGGACTTTTCCAACAGGCACTGACTGGCATAAAAATTTGACAAATTATCAATAAACAAGATAAGAAAAAGTATATGCAGTATAAGTAATGCAATTAAAGAACTGAAACGACGATATTTATTCGTCTTTGTAAAGAAGTATTTGTTCCTATTTAATGGCTAGTTTGCTAACTTCACTTTTAACACTTTTTTGTTGCTCTGTGGTCGTCCTGTGAATATAGCGTTACATTAAAGCCAAACACAATTATTTTTTATTAATGTTCCAATTTATGCCTGGCAAATTGAATATATGCATTAAATTTATCAATGGTTGCACCACAATGCCACATTCAACGAGTAATGAGACGACGAATAGGCTAACCTCCTTTTCATTATCTGCAAGAAATTGGGGCGTTGTAGATGATGTGACAAATGAAAAGTCTGGTTCTCCGTTCCTGATGCTTAGTGATTTATTGCACGCTCTCTTTACAGAATGAATTTGCTAAAATAAGTAAATACACCTAAATCGATCAGGAGAGAACGCGCGAAATCGACAATATGCACACGGCAGAGATTGACACATTGGATTAAAAATAAAGTGTTAAAGACCTCCACATGAAAAAATCAAATAAAATGAAAACAGCATGGACATAAAACGCAGAGGGGCTTTAACCTTGAAACCTACTAAAATGTTAATCGCATTTTCATGAAATCTCAGTTGAATTCTCCCTTCCTATGGGAACACTTGTAACATGACTTCGAATGTTTCCGGATGTCTTTTTCTCTCTAGGTTCTTGTGAAATATGGTTTTGATATAACAAAGCTCGATTCCTTTATACAGTTTCCCAATCACTGTACAACTTTTGCCTGTGCCGTAAATCTGTCAGTTTTTGCACTATCTGACAATCTCCGGCATAGATAATTACTGAGCTTACGGCCATATCACGTTGAAACACCGGTTCCCGTATGTTAACCGAAGTTAAGCAATGTCGAGCCTTAGCAGTAACTAGATGGGTGACTACTTGGGAATACCGGGTGCTGAAAGCTTGGATGTGCAGGTGGTTCAATAGATAATGACTCGGAATTGTTAATCGGAGAGCCAAGTTCCAATTCCGGTTGGGTTCGTTATATTCACTTACGCGCTGTTATAGAGTAAGGCTCAACGTAGTTTCTTCTCTTCCCTACTACTGTGACAATGGATTGCTCTTACTTGAGCAGTAGTTAATTTACTCATGTTTTTCCGTTCTATGTAGGAGGATTTAATAAACCTTTTTTCCTTGTTTTCTCTAATTAGTCTTCAATTCCTTCGATAATCTCTTTAACTACGGCCTTCCAAATTCTCGGTTATTTCGAACAAAAGCAACACGCGCAAATACCGTTGGAAAAGGTATGAATCAATCCTCTTACCTCGGCCAGCTATGGGTTAATTAAGAAGGTTGTATCAGTAAATCACTATTATCTAAAAAAAAAAAAAAAATTCTTACACTCTAAAAGTATATTCTGGCTTTAAATAACCTAAAAAAGCTCGATAAACCGTAGAAAAGGTTACTGAATGAGGGATAAGCAAAATAGAGGTTGGAAGTGAAATGGTAATCTTTATAACATCAACAAAATACAATACTGGCCAGTGACGTGAAGTAGGTAAACCACTGCTAATGGTGTACTACTTAGACAGCATATTACCCACCCCCACCGCCACACACACACACTTACAATAGTGTCCAATTTATGAGGATTGGGACATACTCATTAGTGTTTATAAGTACGGTATATAACATGAATCAATCAAATAGATAATTATTGATTCAAATACGGGAAACTTGCAGGTAAAGCTAAGAATTAAAATTTAGTTAATATTTATATTCGTTATTGATTTTTATTTCTTTTCTCTTCATGTTCATTACATTGTGTTACGAAAGTGATGTAAATAGACATGAGACCACAAACAAATAAAAATGAGAAATTATTTCTTCAATGATGTACTGGAAAACTAGTGAATTCGTGGAACACTGAAATGCAATGTGCTATGTCCTTTCAGGACGTAGGCGATCATGGTTCTCCACCTCCTCTATTCCTTGCAGCTCTCAACAAGTTCCTTCCCTCTCTGCTACCTCCCCCAGACCACGTTCTCTCATCCACTTGCTTAAGGACGCTAGGTATGTCATGCATTCTTTTCCCTTGTCTCGCTTTCCCTCTATTTGACCCGTGAGTATCAGATTCTCCTCATTATGTGTCCCAGGAACTTTAGCTACCTCTTCCTGATGCTAAGTATGAGGCTCCTCCTTGTTAGCATTCTCTCTAAATCTCATCTTTGCTCACAGCCTCAGTCTATGATATCCTTAGTATCCTTCTGTAGAACCAAATTTCCTCGAATCTCTTCATCTTTGAGGAAATCGTCCAACTTTCGCTACCGCAAAGAAGGACAGATGTCATGTAACAGCTTAGTATTCTTTTCTTCATTACCAAAGAAATCCTCCTGTCTCGCAATACTCTACTCAGCTTTTGGAATGCGTCCTTGGCCATCCCAATATATCTACAGATCTCACATGTCATATTTACCGTCCTCTGTCAGAACTCTTATAAAAATAACTTTAAGAATATCACAAGAGATTTAAGAAAATTAAAATGCTAATATTCAAGAAAGATTGATTGACTATCAAGAAAATATTCGGAGAAGATGGTGTTTCTTATGTCAACAGAGTGAAATGAGGTAGGACATTAATTACATTGGTTAAAGACATGAAAGCCAGCAAGGTGACACCAAATTGTCATAGAAAAAACGTATAGGATTATTGGCGAATAAATACCCAGAAACTGATTTCTCGTTTGTAAAGTTTAGTGATTAATGTAAAGCTACATTGGATGGATTTGATGACTTGGCTAAGGATAACATGGAAATAGAACTTACACAATTTACAAGGGAAGAAGGGTTAGATGGATGAATATTAAGGGCTTGTATTGTCGATCCCGTGAAAATCGCTGATGGTGTTAAGATAAATGCAGAGAATTAAAGCTTTGTGTGTTGCAGGTTATACGCAAAAAGCTTACAACTAAAGTGTATATGCATGAAAAACAACGCCGTTTTACCTTCTACAATGCTGCTGCTGATTCATCTTGCCAAAGAAGTATGGAAGGGAAATAATGGTATAGTCTCCACCCTCTACAAATATGATTTCAATAGAAACCGTGTGATTCAGCATTTCAAGAGATGAAAATAACAACGAAAAGTAATATTGAAGCAAAGAAGATCAATGGGAAGCAAAAACAAACAAACAAAAAAAAAACAACACTAATAATTAAATAATGTTAAAGTCGATTTCATTTGTCTGTTTAACGGCACATAAACACCTTATGGGTCATTTAATACCAACATTTAATTTTCTTGGGAGCTTTGACGTAATAAAAATGATATTCTGCTTTCACAATTGAATACATGGTAAATGATACTCAACTTTTGTATATATACATGTTTGTGTGGACATAATTACTAGAGTCGGTAATAGGTGTGTTTTATGTTGTAGTTTTGTTGAAGTTATATTTTTGAATACAGTTTGATTTTTTAAATAAATTGCCAGATATTATATGGCTTAATGTCACGAAAGAGTTCTTTCATCTTTGTTGTTTGTTAGTATTTTAGACAGATTTGGAGGAAGTCGTTACAGTTTGTTGGTACGTGCGTATTAGTAATTTTACTATAAATATGTATTGTTGGCCACTGTTTATATAAAAAATGCATTTTTATACTTTTATAGTGTTTTGTTTGGGAGTTTAACTATTTACCTATATCTGAGGCCTCAACAGGTGCTACCAACACGGGTCAGTGCACCTGGGAAAACCGCTAATCTGTCGATCAGATGTCTTTCTGCCAGATGTAGTTCATCGTGTTACCCAGGACTAGTTCAAGTCGAAGGAGTAAAGATTTAATAAAATCAATAAACGAAAGATCTAAGAAGTTTACAAAAAATTCAAGGAGTTCATATTTATATGTAAAATACTCAATTGATTCAGACATCTTTGATATTGAATTAATCACATATTCCGTTATCTTTCTCTTATTCATTAATAAAAAATGGTTGTTACATTGAATTTGAATACTAAAATATTATACCTCCAATTATTAATATTTTTACAAAATAGGATTAAATGCTAAAAGTGAAGTGAAAGTAATATATTATGCATATAAATGTATATTTCCTGAGAAAATTACGGATATTTGTTGGTTCATACTAAATATATTGAGAAAGCATTGATTTGCTAATGCAATCTGATGTAGTGCAAAAGTCATGGACATAAAAAAAACCCCAAAAAACTTTTACATAAATACAATATACATCAGCAGATAAAGATCAAACCTAAATTTGAATTTTCTTGATTTCAAGCTATTACTGTTTGGTCACAATCAAAACAGGAGAGGAGAAATAGCGCTATTCATAGAAATATCCATGAGTATTACAAATAAATGTGAAATTTTTCGTTATTATTCCAGAAAAAACGAACGTTCAATAATTTTAAAATATGGAAGCATAAAAAGAAAAAAAATCATTTTCTTTTTTCTCTCCGACTACACACACAATCCGTAGTGTCAGTTTTGTATATATATTTTTTTAATTTGGTTCCAGATCCAGAGTTAAATTTTGCATCTTTCTAATTGAGAGGCTAATATCACGGAAAGTTTGAAATCAGATAAACTTAACGACATAAGTGATACTATCATTAGTTAGTTCCCCTTGTCCTAAATGTTTATGACCATTGGTAATGCATAACTTAAGGTCATTTTATAAGTTTTCAACCCCGAGGGGTAGGTTTTTGTCTTTGTGCTTAGAACGAGCGAAAACCTTTCAGCGTTTTGCGTCTTTTTCGAAAATTCAACTGATTTTTTTTAAAAAAAAACCTTTCATATTTTGAAATTATCCATGTTAGCTCTTGGTGGAGTCAAAAGAAATACAGTAATAATGATATATGAATTACATGACTTTGTGGTTGAAGACGCATACAGAGTATACAGTAAAATACAATTAATAAGTAAAAAAGAAAAAAAAATCAATATCTGTCTCTATTGCTGAGATGAGGTATTTTAATTATTTACACTATTTACATTGTCGTTGTTGCATTTGGAAGTGATCTCTGGTCTTTTGTTTAAGGGTTTATCTTCTTCTGGAAATGTAATTATCGCTAATAATCTTTATGTAGCCAAAATGGTTACCTGGTTTTGATGTATATACTTTTTTTTTAATAATTTCATCTCAATCAAGGGCACTTCGACCTAGTGTAATAGCTAGCAAGCTTGTCTCGCTAGATAAATTATGACTGAGTAGTGAGTTCGATCCTCACCATTTCACCCCTAATCAAGGCGATAATATCACGAGGACGTAGCGCGTTACAAGGAATGAAAGTGAATGAGAAAACTTTAGTGTGGAAAAAGACAATAAAAGAACAAGATTCAGGAAGAAAGAAGATGGCGATTGATGTTGCATCTAAATTTTTGAAGATTGTAGATGGAGGGAAGCAAGAAATCGGGCCAGATTTCAACAGGTGAGAAGTGCGAGAAAAGAAACTATTAGAATAGAACTGACGGTTGTGTGTAGCTAGTGTAGCTAGTTCAACAGTAAAACGGTTGTGTATGTAGATGTATAATCATGTCTACACGTTTACGTAAATATATATATATGTATGTGTGTATGTATGTATGTCCGTACGTATATATATATATATATATATATATATATATATGTGCATATGAATATGTGTATGATTAAGTATAAAAGCCAGACGCAGAAAGATATACGCACAAACCTCGATAAGAAAAAAGTAGGCTAAGGAGATTGGTCTTGTTTTATTGAATAGATCTTCTGTCGAATTCGTATAGAAAACATCCGTTTTATTTCTTCATGGCTTTATTACTTAAGAAGATTTATAGATCGTGATAGACGCATTCATAAGTCAAAAAGGAAAACTACAAAAAAATATGAATTATATGAATGCAGTAAACGATTCTTTCTTTTGTATATGTATATATTTCGTTTTATGAATATTCATATATGCGT